ATAGTCACGAAGAGTTTTGTTATTTTCTACTATTTTTTAAAAATAAAATGAACTGTTTTTTGAATAAAAAGAACAAATAAACGAAAATAAAAATAATGGAATTATTTTTTATAGTACTTATACTTTATAGACCCGGATCCGGTGAATTCAAATTCGGACCCGGACCCGATAAATTCAAAATTTTCAGACCTGAACCCGATGGGCTCTAGTGACCGCCTAAAAAACATTCCCCTGATATCAGTCGATATCAGACGGGTACGTAAGAGGCTGTGACCGACCTAAGTGGTTGTGATCGCCAGTGTAAGAGGTTGTGACCGCCATACGAGGTTGTGATCACAAGTTTAAGAGGTTGTGGCCGAAAGTGATATCCGATTTTAAGTAGGTTCAGAAAAACTCATGATAACACCGGTTTTTGGGTATATAACTGAAACTCCATCTTCTTCGAAGTCTTGGAGGGAGTTTCAATAAATTGGGTCGTTTTTACTCGGGGATATGTCATATATTGCATGATAATGTGAATGAGAGAAAGAAAAGTCATTTTTTATTACCTAAAAATATTTATTAAATGGAATAGAAATCCACACAATCTCCTGCCATATTTTAGTATCTAGAAGATAAATCATCGACATTTGTAAAATGTAAAAAAAATTAGAAAAAAAAGCCATTGTTCTTTAGTAAATATACTTTATGATAAATGAATAAATTTTGGCCAATGTTTAACAACATTTTCGTTAATGTTTTTCTCTCTGAACCAAAAAATCATTATCCGTCATTTATGAATAAGTTGAAATTGCTCATGGCGACAAAGAGAGAGAGATTGATGATATTGAAATTGAGGAAATAATAACTGTTAAAGTGATCGTTCAGACCGTGCAAACACTACACACTATCAACAAATTGGGCATTCTTCAAATTTGAATAAAGAAGGTGATTGCCATGGTTGAAGACGTTGGCAGTACTGCATTTTTACTCTTTTATTAATATCTCATGTGCATTTATCAGTCTGTTTTGAGAAAGCCGATATTGTCACCGTTAAGATGACATTGTTTACTAATTTACCCGATTTATGCCTAATTGATATTTGTCACTATTTAAATCGGGCGAAGTACTTCGATTCGTAATCGATATCACACCACGTTTAAACGACATATTATTTGAACGAAAATATTTTTCGAGTATAAATTTTTCTGACGTTAATCTGCGACTGTTCGAACACATATTTAATTCAGAAGTACTAGAAAAGATAAACAAATCAATTCAATCGTTAACCATATGTGAATCATTTACGCCAACTGTGCCAAAGCGTTTCAATTCTCTTCATCTGTTTTCTCAATTTGAAAATGTTACATGCGACTCGAATTATTATCCGTCAATTAACTATCTGACTTATGTAGATTCTTTGAACAATTCTGTTGCAAATATCTTCAAAACCTACAAGAGTTAACCATTCGGTTAAGCTTAATGCAAAAACTACCTGTTAAAATAGATGAAAATCATCCATTTACAATATTTTCGTCGCTCCCTGAAAATACATATTATTTAACAACAACAACTTTAATAAAGCATCATTGAAAAACGTCAACTTTCAACTGGAGCCATCTTTTGGTATTCTGTTGAAATCATCAAATGTTGTTATTAAAAACTATTTCTTCCATCATTTGATGTCCAAAATTTGAAAACAAGACATGCATAGTACCACTCGAATATCTATCAATTATATCGACTGAAACGAGAAATAAATTCTATTCAACAAGAGTGTGATATACGTGATATTAATGAAATCTTATATGAAATTAAAATACAAAAAGAACGTGCAAGAGAAATACTTCTGAACGCACTTAATCAGCTTGAAACAACTATCAATACAGAAAAAAATAAAAAGATATTTAAAGGAGTTAATCAACGATATTGATAAAATTCTTGATAATGCGTCATCTGCAATATTTTTAAAAGCAACTATTTTCGCATCCCCTTTCAGTTTACTAGCAGTTATAATAGGTGAGAAAAGTACTTCAGCCGCATTTAATGCTGCTGCATTAGGTATAGGAGCTGTAGCAGGTGGTGTAGGAGCTGCAGTATATAGTGCAGGAGGTGAATTATGATTTAGAAACAAAATATCAAACTTAGTTTCTAAATTGACAGAAGATATTGATGTTACAGAACATCAGAAAGTACATCAATTACTAATACTTGATCGTTATTCCAAAGGTTTTGAAAAGAAACTAACTAATGATAACAATAACAATTCAATGATAAATATTGTTTGGTATGATAAACAAATTGAAACCAGGATAAATCAGTATCATGTTGAAAAATTAACAACAGAATTTTCGACAAAAAATTATCCGGTAATACAAGTGGATAGCAAAGATAAACTGATTCAATTAATTATAACTGACACTGATCATAATATGATACTGATGACATCAGGATCAGCGGGACAAGAAGTGATATCTGAAACTGGATCATATTGGAATATCAAGGAGATAATTATATTTTGTGGAAAAGTTGAGCAACATCAAGCATGGGCTTGGGAGTGATGCACAAATTACATCATTCATCAGAGAGAGAGAGAAGGATTTCAAAACGTTAATGGAAATAATGGTGGATATGTGTATATAAAACAATCTGAACTATTTTAAGAAAAGTTCTTTTTTAATAACAGAAGAAAATCAAATTTTGTTCTATCCAAATCTCCTTAATATAGTGAACTTCTTTATGTGTTTGAGCATGTTATAGGTAAGATCATTTTTTATGAAAAACTGTTCTTTAGTGGAAAAATTGAGCTACCTTTGACATGATAACTGAAAAAAGAATTGGACCGAAAATAATTTTTAAGATTTTCAGATAGATATAGATCATAGAGTTTACTAGCAGAAGATTCAAACCTCCATCGGCCATGATCGAATGCTTGCTTGAGGATGTAAAGTGAGAATGAAGTTTCGGTGGCGCATAAAGAATTGTTTGCGTTTAAGAACAAATATTGCAATGGAAAAAGCTAGAAACTTGTTGTTTTGTAAGATTATGTATCTATTTCATTGACAATTTTGAACGAATACTAGCGAATTTATGACTAAGTCATCTTTCTGCGCTAAATCACAAAAGCGATATCAGCAAATATCTACTACATTGAAAGTTGGTGGAGTCCTACTACTATTTCTCACATCACTAGTAAAATACTATAATTTGAAGTCTGACAGACGAGAGTGAATATCTGACGGATGGTTGATTTTATATTTGAACAGTCCAATGCAACTATAAGAAAGTATTACTTGTAACAGATAAATTTGATGAAGTTATTCAAACAATTAAAGATATACAATCTGGTACAGTTTATTTTTTGAACCATGGTTTTTCACTCGACGATATAACATTGAAATTACAGACTACTATTTATCAACAAACAAAAATGGCTTTATAATAACCGATTTTTCAGTTATTAATTCAAATATTGATTATCAGAAAAGCATCATGCAACAACTACATAATACAATAATATCGAAAAATATTTATCCGGATGGTTTTCCAAATCATTTTACAATTAAAAATCTGTTCGACTGCGCTGAAAGATTTTCGAAAGCCTTGAAAGAGACTGAACCAGAAAACAAAATCATATATCTTTATACGTTGCAAAAGCTGTACTATTATAAAATAGTCTATGATATTCTTAATCTATTGGATGAAGAATTAATTTCAATAATTAGTGATTATATCAAAGCATTACGTTATGCCTAAAACTTGTGTAAGAACCGCGCTTGAATACGGTTGTGTTATCTACGATTCCACTTTTACTTCTCATCTTGAAATTTTGGATAAAGTTCAGCGTCTTGCTAGTAGGGTCATTTCACAAGATTTTAGT